AAAAAAAAAAAAAAAAAAAGCCGCGATCGCGATCTAAAAAAAGACGCGATCGCGATCTGCGGCGGCAATTCGGCGGGAGGTCCTTCACTCCCAGGCGGAGTGAGGGACCGTCCGCCGAATTGCCGCCGAATACCTGGAACTGCCGCCCCTGTCCGGAACGGCCGCCCCAAGCACCTGCTTGAGAAGCTGGTGCCTGGAGCCGGCCCTGGGTACTGCTACCCTGACTTCTGCACTGCTGCTGGCAGCAGTGGTGCCTTCAAAGCTGGGCAGCTGGAAAGAGGTGGCTGCTGGCTGGGAGCCCAGCTCTGAAGGCAGAGCTGCCGCCTGCAGCAGTGCAGAAGTAAGGGTGGCATGGTATGGTATTGTCACCCTTACTTCTGCACTGCCGCTGGCGGAGCGCCGCTTTCAGAGCTGGGCGCCTGGCCAACAACTGCTGCTCTCCAGCCATCGGTCGCCACTCTCCAGCCACCCCGCTCTGAAGGCAGAGCAGAAGTAAGGGTGGCAATATTGCAGCTCCCCTAAAATAACCTTGTGACCTTCCTGCAACTCCCTTTTGGGTCAGAACCCCCAATTTGAGAAACGCTGGTCTCCCCTGTGAAATCTGTACAGTATAGGGTTAAAGCACACAAAAGACCAGATTTCACAATGAGAGACCAGATTCAAGGTCCGCGATGTGTTTTTCATTGGCCGTGAATTTGGTAGGGCCCTAATCACGATGGTCCCTTCTGACCTTAAAGTCAATGAGTCTAACTTTACTCATTGTGAGCAGTCCCACTGAAAATCAATAGGACTATTCAGAGGGCATAATGTTGAACACGTGTGTAAATCTGTTCAGGATTGAGGCCTTAGCCTAGTATGAAAAGAAATGTTTCCTTATTTTTTTTATATTAATGTGTTGGGGGTTTTGGATTTAAATGTTTCCCTCCAGTTTTGGAAAACCAGCTCCGTTGTGCTGTTACTTAACAGCCAGAAATTGAAACTAACTTCAAGTTTCATATTCCAAGCTGAGTGAAGTGCATATAGTAATCACACAGTGATTCCTATAAAAGTGAATTACATTTTTTTAAAAAATTCAATTTTAATAATCTGAGTAACAATGGTAAAGAACAGCTTTAAATATATTATTTTTATCTTGACAGTGTTCCACAAGGAAATGACCATTAAAATAATTTGTTTTTCTTTAAGATAAAGTATATTTGTTCTAGAGTTGGTGACAGACTATTAAGGAAATACAGATAAACATAATTTACAAATGCAGAGGAAATTTAAACACTGTCTTCAGCTCCAATTTGAATTTGAAGTTCTGCTTAAGAATCACTATTTTTTTTTCTGTCAAACTTACTTTTGGTCGCTCTTTCTTTCGCACTCAATTAGGATCCTCCCTCCCTCCCTTCCTCCATTCCCTAGGATTTTATATTTTAACAGCATAAAGTTATCCCAGTTAGTGCCAAAAAGAAAAAAGTTAAAAGGAAGACCAAAGTTTGACTGCTCTAAAGAAGGAAACTGAAATCAAAATCTATTATCAAATCTACCTATATTTTAATAATCTTGTACAAAAAAAACCCAACCTGACTTTGTGTGTGTGCCTGAACAGAGTTCAAGATTTATGTTTAAGTTTTTAAAAAGTCAAGCTGTTTATATTTGTTGTCTAGTAATTGAGGGCCAGATTCTGATACCCTTACACACACTAAGTAACACCATACTCTGCAAGCAATCCCATTGAAGCCAGTGGGATTACTCATGGCGTAAGGTGATATTCAATTTGAGTAAGAATATCAGAATGTGTCCCACAGTAGTTCATAAATAATCATACATTTTGTTTATAGTATCTGTGTATTAGAGCTTTCAAGGGCTCCAATTCAGCAAACCATCCTTATTCAGCAAAAAACTTAAGCAAATGGTTAAATCCCATTGACTTAATGATCTGGAAGTTAAGCACATGCTTAGTTGTGTTGCTGAATAGTAATGTTACCATCAATTTGTGCAACAGAGGAAGAATGGGCGTCCTGTGTGATCTTTCTTGCATAGAAATTGGTATTTTTTAAAAAGTCTGTTTGGTTTCCATTTTTTTTTAATCTGTAAAGGCTGCTTTTAAATGGGCCAAAACAAGCTGTCCAAAATGAATTATGTACTTTCCTCTTTTAAAACATATGTACATTAACTTTTAGTAGTTACAAAAAAAAAATCCAATCCAATCAAAGTAGTTTGTGGTTTTATTTGACTTTACTCATTTCATAAAAAAGAAGTTAACTTTGGAATGGCTCCACTTTTCCATAATGCCTTCTTATAAAATTAGGATTCTTTATTTTCGGACTATGGAGGATATATTCCTCCAATGCGAATTTGTTCAGGTTAACAGCATCTTTTTGCCCATTTAAGCCTCAATCCTGCAGACACTTAAATCCATGCAAATGTGGGCACTTATCTTCAGACATAATTCCTTAATTTGATTATCTAATTATTCTGGACCAAGTCATGGGACCACAGACTTTTATAGTATTTCACCAGGCTCAGTGGTTTAATGGGAGTTTACAAAAACTGCATCCAATCCTGCAAACAAATGTGAAAAAGGTTAGTCCAGTAGAACCACTGCAGTCAATGCCACTTATCAGATCAGTAACTTCTATTCACATGGCTGAGTATTTGCAGGATTACGTCTGCTAAAAGGTTTTTTTTTTTAATGCATTTGTATTGGATTATGTATTTATTAAAGCACAAAAAGATAAAGTTTTGCTTATGATTTTCAACTCCGGAATGCCATGAGTTACAATATGGTCTTCATTTCCTTTTGGAAAAGTCCTTTAGAATTTAATAGGGACAAAATTTTATAGATTCTTATTGGTTATCTTAAAACCTATCGCAGTTAATAAATACTGGCATACTTTTTGTAAGTTTTTTTTTTTATTTTTAATTATCCTATAGAATTCTATTGAAAGTATAATTTAATTTTTCTGTTAAATTACATAGGACTTTTCCATGAGGTGTAGTACAATGTAGTGATTCAAGAGTGAGGCTGAGTTTGGACTCCTGAGGCCTGATTTTCCTGTCATTGGCATGCTTTTCACTTTTTTAGAGCTACTCCTTATTTACACTGGTATAAATTAGTGGGGAATCAAGGTCTTAGGTTCTAGTCCCAGCTCTCCACTGACTCAGTGTGTCGCCATGGGCAGTCTGCTAGGCATCCATGCAGTAGTGCCAATCCCAACCATTTTAAAACCATGAATCAAGCCCCAAAATACATGAGCTTGGCTTACAAATCATGAGGTTTTTAAAATGTGGGGTCTATTATTTACCTTCTTGCATTTGTTGAGCTTTTGGGGATCATGTTTTCTAGCTTTTCTCTGCAGCCATGAGAGCTAGAAATGTATTTATTAAAAAACCCTCAAGATTCTCATGTGTTCACCTGACTCCAGGTGCTGGAGCTTTAAGAAAAACACCAAATACCACGGGAAGTCAAGATAAAAGTCTTGAGAGTTGACAACGCTGCTTCTACCGAGGCCAGCCAAAACCTGTCCCTTAAATGCTTTGTGACTCTAATTACTCCTAGGTGGAGCTAGTTTGAACATTGCAAAATGTGAAGCTTTCAACAGAATTTTTAATGAAAATTTGAATTATGATGAAAAATGAACTAATTCTTTTTCCACAAAAACTGTCATTAAAATGTCCCATTTTTCATCCAGCTCTAAAGATGGGCAAACTAACGCTTCTTTCACAGAGTTGATGTGCAGCTTACTTAATATTTGCAAAACACTTTTTGACCTCCTTGCTCCCTCTGGTGAGAAATGGGAGAAAAGAGGTCACAGTGTAATGCTTTGAGATCCCTGGCCTGGACTACAACATTTAGATCCAAATCCAGATTTTTATCCCACCTCGCTTAAAGCTTGTGGTTGTCCAGATCTGGGATTTCGTTTTGGTGTTTGATCCAAGTTATTGGCCATAGAATTCAGCCACAAATCTGGATTTGGATTCAAAGCCCCAAGTTCAAGGATGTTTGGATCTAGGGTTTAAGATTCAAGCTCACCTCTAATCTTAACACTAAAGAGCTACTGTAAGATGCATTTCCCTTTTTGGACAGGAAATCCTGACTGAAGTTATTCTAGTTGGCCTCTTTGATGAAGATTTAAGAGCTAGCCAATTTCATAAGGGGAAAAAATTCATAATATAAATAGTTATGTCCCCCCAGCTGATGGAATTGTTAGTATGTAACCTCAGATGCCATTAAAACGATTTAATAAATCAAAAAGTTCTCTGTATTGTCATCAGCTATGTCCATCTCATTAAATCAAGTTTATTCAGCAGCATTTCCCATCATGATGAATCTACTATAGTGGCTGGTTTTTGTTTGATTTGTGATGTTAGAAGTAAAGATTAAAATCTGTTCCTGTCATTGTTAACCATCCAAAAATGTTTCTACTATTTTTAAGTTGTTTATTAAATTATTGTAGGAATGTTAATATGAAAAAGAAAAAACTTAGTTATTATGAAGTCAAACATATTGTATTATCAAAAGTTCAGATAGCTTCAATTCCTTGCAAATAAAGTATACGAGTTAATGAAATCTCACCGAAAACAACATTTTCTATACTTTTATTTCTCAATCACACGGTCTATGAATGAGAATACACCTTTTCCCTTAAAGAAATTGTTTGCTTCTGTGTTGTCAAATGTTTAATGTTAATCAGAAATTGTTTTTTCTTCCAAACTGATTGCTTCCTCAGTTTGCCTTGTTTTTCATAATCTGTTTTTGCTGAATGCAAATCTTCCTGTAATTCTAAAACTGGTCACATATTTTAATCTTTCAGAACTGAACATGCTTTCTCAATGGGAGCTCATATTGTGTCAGAGGATATATTGTGTAGGGAAACTCATGAGAATTTAGCTATATGTTAGTTTATCATCCCAAGAATGTTGCTCTGTTTCCAAACGGAATGCAGGAATGGAAAAGGTCATGACACTTTTGCAAATGCAATAGAAAGTTCTTTAATACAATGAAAAAGCCTTTCCAGAGCTCAAAATTCTTTCTTTCTTTTCTGTCTGCTTAGCTGTTACATTACAGCTGCTGTAAACTGTTGTAGACCAAATTCTGTCCTCTGGTATGCACACGTAACTCCACTGAAGTCAGTGAGATTCCACCATTGTAACTGTGGGCAAAATTTGCTCAATTTGCTCGAGATGAGCAAAAAAACCTGAAAGATCTGTTGCTATAATGGTAAACAACTTAGCCACCAGTGCTACAGCGTGATTTCCTCAAAGGACAGGTAAAAATGAGCCAAATAATGCAAATAAGCAAAGACAGTCACTCAGTATTCAGTGATTACCCATTGTCATAATTTGTCAGTGTTCAAAACAGCTGTTCTGTGTCTTCCAGCAGCAAAGTGCAACATATAATGGATGAAATGATCACAACAGAAAGGGAATATGTTAGATCCTTAGGATATATCATCGACAACTATTTTCCAGAAATGGAAAGAATCGATTTACCTCAGGATTTGCGAGGGAAGCGGAATATTATCTTTGGGAACCTGGAGAAGCTCTATGATTTCCATTGCCAGTATTTTCTAAAAGAGCTGGAACACTGCAGAGACTTCCCACTGCGTGTCAGCCACTGTTTTCTCAGACATGTAAGTCCCGTTTCCAAAGAAGGGTGAATTCTTAGAATCAGATATTTTGAGTTAATCACAGATCCTATTACCGAGTAAATCATGTCACTTACCTTTTTTGTGTTTCTCATAGTGTGTACGTTCTAGATGTCCTGTGACGAATGTTTACTGTTGTCTGTGTATGTGGCCTGTTGTCTTCTCTCAGAGAGTTGTACATGAACCCCTAGGTCCTCATGCAGCTGCACCTTTTGATATCTCAAAACATGCTGGCTGGACCCTTTCTAAATTTGCTAGAAGTAATACTTGAGTTTGCCACATAAGTGATATGGCCTCTAAGTTTTCAGTTTTCTATAATTATATATGTTTTCTATTAATTTTGTTTCCTATTATGATCCAATGCACAGGTGCTCTTATAGCATCATTTGCAATCACACTGGAAAAGTACCTAGTGTCATATGATCACCCTAATGTCAACAAGTGAGTTGGGACGAAGGGGCTGATATTGTTTCAAGAGGAAACTAATCTTAAATTCCACAATCACCTTATTGACAGTAATTTTCTTACAATAGACAAAGCATCAAATTGCTGCTTACACATTTGCTCTGACATGTGTGAACTACACCTGCTGAATATAGCAGACATTTAACCAGAGAAAAGATGGTGGTATGTGCTCTCTGTGTGTAATGTGTACACAGAGGGCTATATATTGGATGACACAGGGCTGTCCCTGGGGTGGGGGAGAGGGGCGGGGCCCGGGGCAGAAATGATGGATTCGTCTCTTCTGGGACCGACTGCACCAGCCCGTGGGGCCAGGAGCGGTCGCCCCGATTCGCTCTACCCGAGGGACGGCTCTGGGATGGCAGAAGGATCGTTCTGCATATACGAGGCTGGTCTGATGTGTGGCTTGTGATTTTGGGTATCCGTCTCCAGCATTCTACTTGTAGTTTAATTGTAATACATGAACATTTCCATTCAGCTAATCAGATGTGTCTGGACAGAAAAAATAAATTTAAAATTACATTTAAAAGCACTAACATTTTGCTGTTTGGAAATGCCTTGGGCCTCCTTCGCTGTGTGCCTAATTCTGACCCTCTCCTAGCAGGATGTTCAGGGCACATCCCTTCTTTCAACGTATGGGGAGTCTGCGTCAGCACGACTGATCCAGAGGATGGCGCAGCCATTGTGGAAAGGGGCATAGAGTGGCTGAAATGGTCCTGGTCTATTGTCAGGACATGAGGAACCACTGATGGGGGTGGGGAGGTTATGCAATTGAGCATGTCATTACCTTCCTGAGAGGCCCTGTGTGGACCTGGCCCCTCACTCCCCTGCAGAAATCTCAGTATGGCGCTAACACAGGGGAGAGAAAGGGGGGGGCTTTAGCAACATATGGCAGGGTTGAAGGGGAGTGCAACTGATTTAATTTTCCTGAAGGGAAGGTCCATCTTTCAAAAGTTTGGGAAACACTGATTTCAGGTCAATTTTTGCTGTTGGGATAAGTAGAATGGGCCTGGTGATCAGGATTTCCTTGTAAAATGTTTTCAAAGACTTATCGTTGCATATTACACTGATTATAAATTAAGCCAACTTTAAAATCCATCAAAAATAATGTTAATCAAATGCTACGGTGACATGGCGAGCACTTGAACATCAGGAAATGACTGTTATGGTCAGAAATGCCTCAACATTTGACTGTTGTGTTAGAAACCACCGGAATGTCCTATTCCACACACCTTAGGAGTTTTACAGGAGAAGACAGTTCTGCACATATTACAAGCTGGTCAGTTTTTGGTACACAGATAAATAGGGGATGTGAAACCCCTTCCTCATTCACTGCGCATCTTACTTCACCATGCATACCTGTGCAGTTCAGCCTTCCTTAGCCATGCATTCAAGTTTAGCAAGATAATCTGTGTAAAATTTATTGTACATCCAGATAAAATGATTTCAGTGTGTCATAACAAGGAAAAATATACAGTAGTTTTCACCAGAACATACAAAGGTTCTTCTCAAACAACACTATTTCCATGCCAAATTTCAACTTTTTACCCGTGTCATTTCAGTGCTACCAGTGTTCAAAAATAGGTCATTTTTATAATGGGAAAAGCTTTTTTATTTTCATTTTCCACATACTGCCAAACACTGGAAATGTTTTTGCTCAGACTTTCCAAAAATGTTCACTTTGAAGCAGACACCATAATAGCAGCCTAAAAACTAAAAGTGATTGAGAGCTGGGGAGGGGGGAAAGGCAGACGGGGCATAAAAGCATTTCTATTCTGCAACTTTTAACTATAGTGGTCATGGTTACTCTCACTATAATGAACTATTTCTCCCTACTTCTTTAACCACTTGGCCGTCATCAGTCATGATTCTGTGGTCCTGAGTGCTCGTATACAATGGTTAAGTAGAGAGTACTGCAATATAGAAGGCTGGATACTTTTAAGTAAATAATTGTTGCAGTAGCAGCTCAGGGCTCAAGAGGTTTAAATTTTTTCCCATTGCTTGCTCCTGCATTTCTTTGTATTTTGGCTGTCCTTTTCTTTTTGAAAAGCATATCTTAACAAATACTGTCCTACTGTTTGTGATTCACATTAATTGAACATTATTCTTCAGTTTTCTTATTATATCTTACACAAACTTTCCCCCCACTGGTATATTCCATAATAGCCATCTTTGTCTGAACCACATATCCTCAGATGTTACTTTAGAGCAGAAGCAGATAGGTTTCTGTCTGTCTATTTCCGCTTTCTAAACCTGCTTCACTTTAATAAATTCCCATAGTGTCTGTTGAAGCCATCTCAGGCATGCCATAATTGTATCAAAGTAATATTAAAAGCAATTGGGAAATGAACAATAATGGCTTGAAAAACACATCCAATTTCACATGGTGTTTCTTTACTCTTTCCTAATGAATCTGTGTAACCAGTATTAACCACAAAAGAAAATCCCAACCCTGACAATAAATGATTGATTAAATAGCCCACTGTTTTTTAACTAAGGAGATGATCTGAAAAGGGAATCCTTTTTGTTGTGAATGCTTAATGTAGGCCCCTCACCTGGAGCCACAGCTGTGGTTTTTCCTATTGCCTAGGATGGAAAAGTCAGGATTTTATTACTTTCTCATCATACCAGGGTGTTGTGAGGATTAATTTGTGTTTGTAAAGTTGAAAAGCATTGTATGCTGTATGTGCTGATACTGACAAAGGAGCAAGTTATTCTATTCCTCATCCCCTTTGCAATGCATACTACCTCTAGTTTTCTAGAATACAGAGAATCCTTCAAGTCATCTAGAAAAATCACCATTGTGCCTCCAGGTGGGATGTCTATGTTAATCACTTCGAACTCTATCCCTGTAAAGATTAATGGAAATGTGTTGCCTGCGGGCACATGGTGATTTTCCCAACCTGATTTGCACAAAAAAACAAGATATCATTCTGTTTATGCTAGGATAGCAAAAAGAAACATACATTACAGAGGATAGGTGGGATGTAATAACCTGGCTCTCAGTCCACTGTAGCACTTAGAGTATTTAATAAGGAGTCCTTGTGGCACCTTAGAGACTAACACATTTATTTGGGCATAAGTTTTCGTGTGCTAGAACCCACTTCATCAGATGCATGGAGTGGAAAATACAGAAGCAGGTATAAATACATGAAAAGATGTGAGTTGCCTTACCAAGTTGCCTTACCAAGTGTGAGGTCAGTCTAACGAGACAATTCAATTGACAGCAGGATACCAAGGGAGGAAAAATAACTTTTGAAGTGGTAATGAGAGTGGCCCATTTCAGACAGTTGATAAGAAGGTGTGAGTAACAGTAGGGGGAAATTAGTATTGGGGAAATTAGGTTTATGTTTTGTAATGACCCAACCACTCCCAGTCTTTATTCAGGCCTAATCTGATGTTGTCAAGTTTGCAAATTAATTCCAGTTCTGCAGTTTCACGTTGGAGTCTGTTTTTGAAGTTTTTTTGTTGAAGAATTTCCACTTTTAGGTCTGTTATTGAGTGACCAGAGAGATTGAAGTGCTCTCCTACTGGTTTTTGAATGTTATGATTCCTGATGTCAGATTTGTGTCCTTTTATTCTTTTGCCTAGAGACTGTCCAGTTGGGCCAATGTACATGGCAGAGGGGCATTGCTGGCACAAGATATATCACATTGGTAGATGTGCAGGTGAACGAGCCCCTGGAGGTGTGGCTGATGTGATTAGGTCCTATGATAGTGTCCCTTGAATAGATATGTGGACAGAGTTGGCACCAGGGTTTGTTACAGGGATTGGTTCCTGGTTTGGTGTTTTTGTTGTGTGGTGTGTAGTTGCTGGTGAGTATTTGCTTCAGGTTGGGAGGCTGTCTGTAAGCGAGGACTGGCCTGTCCCCCAAGGTCTGTGAGAGTGAGGGATCATCCTTCAGGATAAGTTGTAGATCCTTGGTGAATACTAATTTCCCCCTACTGTTACTCACATCTTCTTGTCAACTATCTGAAATGGGCCACTCTCTTAGCACTTCAAAAGTTATTTTTCCTCCCTTGGTATCCTGCTGTCAATTGAATTGTCTCGTTAGACTGACCTCACACTTGGTAAGGCAACTCACATCTTTTTATGTATTTATACCTGCTCCTGTATTTTCCGTTCCATGCATCTAATGAAGTGGGTTCTAGCCCACGAAAGCTTATGCCCAAATAAATTTGTTAGTCTCTAAGGTGCCACAAGGACTCCTCGTTGTTTTTGTTGATACAGACTAACATGGCTACCACTCTGAAACCTACAGTATTTAATGTTATTCAGGTTTAACGGGCTTTACAAACACTGGAAGACTAAACTCTTTGGGCCAGACTCTGACCTTCAGAAGTGACTCCATCCAGGAACCTGTTGCTCGTGCTCAGCTTGCAGACGTTCCCCAGCATGGATGTGTCAGTCCTTGATATTTACTTTGTCCATATTGCTCGGTTAGTAGGTTGGAGGATGCTGGCAGATAAGGAAGAAATTTGCTGTGGTGATTTATTCTCTGCTCTAAAAGATGGTGTCCTGGACTCAGATTCGTTCAGGCTGCATTTTGCACATAGTGCCATTTCCTGCTCAAGGCCTGGGTGAAAGAGGAAGAGATTGCTTTAGTGCTTGTTACTAGACACCATTAGTATGAAAGTGGCAGTTGTTTACTGATGTCTCAGACCCTTTTGAAAGCTCTGGCCCATAGCAGGGTGGCCAGTTTGAATGATAGTTCCTTGGGCTGAGATCTGAGTTTTCTTTCCCTTTGTAGAGGAAAGTGGTAGCTTTGTTGATTCTGTGTGTGTTTAGGGTTGGATGGGTGAGACAACTTTAATACCAGGTCGGATCTTTCTCAGGCTTGGTCCACACTGGGGCGGGGGATCGATCTAGGAAATGCAACTTCAGCTACGAGAATAGCGTAGCTGAAGTTGACGTTTCCTAGATCGAACTAAGTTTACTTACTGCGGGTCCACGCGGCGCAGGCAAGCTCCCCTGTCGACAGCGCTTCCTCCTCTCGGCGAGCAGGAGTTCCGCAGTCGACGGCGGAGCGCTTCTGGGATCGATTTATCGCATCCAGATGAGACGCGATAAATCGATCCCAGAAGATCGATCTCTACCCGCCGAATCAGGCGGGTAGTGTGGACCTAGCCTCAGTCTTGGTGACACACGAGAAGTTGCTCCTTTCCTGTTTCTCCCGCTCCTCTCTTCATCCTTGAGCATATGCTGTACCATTCCCTTTGGCCCACATCCTCTGTTTGCCAGATATCCGGCCTGCACATGAAAAGCTTGTTTGTCTGCTCTCCTGGGTTCTACTTGTCTGAAAGGAGCAAATACCAGAGTGCCACTTACATTGTGGCTGATTTGTCAGGGAAGCTTAGATGGGGAAGTTGGGCAAGAGGGTTTTGTAGCACTGCCCTTCCAAATGACTCTCCCAGCATGCTTGTTGTTTTGTGAGTGCAGGCACAAGGGAACCATGACGTGTTCTTCTGCCTGTAGCTGGTACTCAGCAGCACCAGATTGTCTTTGACTCATATGTCCTGCTATTCAGCTGAGTAGTGGTTCTGGGCTGTGTTCCAGTACCCGGATGAAAAGCAAGCCTCTTCGCTCTTGCCAGTCCTGCCACTCAACTAACAGGCAGTTTTCACTCATACTCTATTAATCTGCTTGTGAGCCATCACGAAGCCCAGAGAAAGGGGACCTGCCCTTGCTCCCCGTGTTCTTCAGCGTTCCACTTGAGGGAGTAATGCAGGGGAGCCTGGAGTGGAAGCTATAACCCTAAACTCCATACAGGTCCTTTATTGCTAGGGCTGCCACCTGATATGTGAGCTGTTGCAGGAGAAAGAGAGGCTGATGTTGTTGTCCTAATTCTGTGGGCTCCAGCAGAGGATTTCAGGGATCAAACTGTCTCCAGCTCATATTGGAATCTGCAGTTTCTCTTTTAGTTATACCCTGTTCTCATACTAGAGATAACCCAATAAAAGGAGGCAGACCCTTGTAAAGATTAGGACAAAGGATGGCCTTTCATTGGTGGGGGGGGTTTATAAAAAAATTAATAATGAATTTTTTTAAAAAAAATTTATGTTTTTTTTTTTTTTGAAGAAAAAATGAAAAGCTAAAACCAAAGATTTTTTTGGTTTTCAAACTCAAACTTATTTTACCTTCTTTCTGCTTTTTTTTTTTTCCCCCCACCCCCTTCATTTTCAGTGTCAAAATGGAAAAAAGGGAAAGAGGGAGAAACAGAAAAAAGAGGAGAAAGAAACCTGGAAAACTGAAAAATTTGATCTTCTTTTGACAGGAGCTTTGCCTGAGAAAGTATTATAGAACCTGAGCATTTGATACCTGAATTCCCTTATTATTCGATGGATAAACCGGGAGAAGCACAATTGTGCTGTATTTTTATAAATACTGTATTGTATCAACACAAAACGATCTGAAAAACTATTCTACAATATCAGGCAAAAATCAGAGAGCAGTTCATAATAATCTAGGTTTATTTTTTCTTTGAAAAGAAAACCAACATTTACTTATTGGTTGCTTGCTCAGATTGTATTATGAGGGGAAGATCTGTTTGTTTATCCTTAGATGATTTGTTTGGGTCCCGTTAGTTTAAAGGAAGGAAGAAGATAATTTGTTTAATAAGAAGGAAAACAAACATGTGAAGTGAAAAAGTTTGTTTATTTCAGTGTTCCGAGGCAATGGGAAAATAGTGATCTTGCCTGATCTTTTTATACCTTCCAATGAATTGGGAAGCCTCCCTCATGTCCAGGGAATTTAAAAGGGGATCTTTTTGTATGCTTTAATACCATTCAGTTATTGAAGAAGATCTCATTCTGTGCTAAAGACTAGATGGGGCACAATGCTATCTAGATATCGATCTATACCACACTCAGCACTGGGACCTGAAGCCCAGATTCACAAAGGGACATAGGTGCTGCAACGCTGAGCGTCACAGTGCATAACTTTTAGGCACCTAGAAAATCTCAGGAACAACACCGCTATTCACAAAGGCCAGCATACTAGGTAAGAAGCCACCTAAGCTAGCCCCAATGGGAGATGCTGAGGACAAGACCGTGTCCTATGCCCCGCCCCTCTCATGGAGATAGGCACCTAAGTCTGGGCCGCAAGGAGGTGCCTATTTCTCCTAGCAATTCATGAATGGGAGTCAGGTGGCTTGGGCACCTAGGGTATTTCTTTTGAGAATGAGTATGGATACGTTTACATTACTTTTTAAAATTCACGACAGAGTCCCAGAGCCCGCACCTTCAGACTGGGGCTCGCGGGGCTTGTGCTCCAGCACTAAAAATAGCAGTGTAGCTGCTGCGGCTTGGGCTGGCGCTCGAGCTCTGAAGCCCAACCCACTGCCCCAGCTTCAGAGCTCAATCCCAAATGTCTACCCAGCTGTTTTTAGTGCAGCACCGCAAGGCCGAGTCTGTAGCCCCAGGCGCTGAGGTTCGTTGCTGCAAGGTCTAAAATGCAGTGTAGAGGTACCCTTAGGTGCCTGCCTAGCTCCATGTAAACAGCCGAAGGAGGAGGTGGTGGTGTTACCCACCTTAGAACTTTTAGCCCAGTGGTTACAGCACTTGCCTGAGAGGCAGGAGGCTTCTGTTCAAATCCTTTCTCCCCCCTCTGGTGGGGGTGGGGGGGGAGAATTGAACATGGGACCACATCCCAGGCAAGTGCTCAAACCCCTGGGCTAAAAGTGATAAGGTGGTCACTGCCGTCACCATCTCCTCCAGCCAAATTTGGAATGCGACCTGATCCAGTAGGCAGCCTTTGAGCATACATATCAGATCAGGTGCTGCATGCAAGTTAAGCAAGCAAACTCCTGTCTGCTGCAATTCATGAATTGCTCTGGGGCTTAGATGGGAGAAAAGTGCCCGGACACCTAGAGGGAGGCAGCAGTGTGCATGCCCAAAGGCAGAAACTTGAGCACTGAGGGAACTTTTAACGTGAAATTTTGACACCAAATGACTTTAAGCACCTACAGGGTTTGGAGGAAGTTTGGGGAATCGCAGTGGAGCCTAAAACTGGGATTTAGGTGCCCGGGTACCTCTGCGACCCCCATCCCCACCCCCCAACTGGAGTGCCTTACAATTTCTAATGGTTCTAAATTAACTCTAGCATACATCAGGAAACACTTTCTCATGTGAGTAGCCCTTACTCACATGAATGATCCTGACAAAGTCATTGAGTGAACTCACATGAGTTGCCAATATTGTTTAAAGTCAGCCTGGCTGATTGAGCACTTAGATACTATAATGAAGGGTGCTCTAGAAATACCTACCATAGACAGATAGTTGAAACAGATGAATTTTGCAAATTGTTCAATCTGGAAGAGCTGTAAATTATAGAGAACTAAATCTCCTAAATGAATGGTTCTTGGATGTCCATTGCCGAAATGTGTCTAGATTAAAGCACCTCCTGCAGCTTTGGATTGGAATACATCCATTGTGGGGAGGTGTTATACACTGTACATGATTTTTGTACAAAACTGATGTTAAATGGAGAAGGAATTGATTGTTGGAGAAACAGAAAATAACAAGGAATAACAACACTTTTTCCTATACTTTTTCAGGAAGAACAGTTTGGAATGTATGCATTATACAGCAAGAACAAACCACAATCGGATGCTTTGCTTACAAGCCATGGAAATGCATTCTTTAAAGTAATTACTATCCAGCTTCTTATTTAATGTGAATTGTGTGAACACCACTCACTGCTGTGTATACTTTTATGCAGTATATCAAATATTGTTTAGACATTCCTTTAATATTCCCACAGAATAAACAACAGGATTTGGGTGATAAGATGGATCTGGCTTCCTATCTGCTGAAGCCTATTCAAAGAATGAGCAAATATGCTCTTCTTCTAAAAGATATGATCAAAGAGTGCACTAAGACCCAGGAGCAGGAGCTCAATGATCTCAGGGCAGCTGAAGAAATGGTGAAATTCCAGCTTCGCCATGGAAACGACTTACTTGCTATGGATGCCATTAGAGGGTGTGATGTAAGCATTTCTCAATCCTTCCTTTATTTTTCAAATATCCCCTTGGCTTTGCTGCTGCAGTTTTCATTCAAAGACAGAAAGTTGCTAAGAGGCAGATTATTATTATTATTATTTATTAATTTTATTTTACTATATATATGCTGTAGCACATAGGAGCCCTAGTCATGGTCCAGGACCCCATGTGCCAGGCACTGTACAAATATAAAGCAAGAAGACAGTCTGTGGCCCAAAGAGCGTACAATCTATGTGACATAATGCCCTTCCCCCATTCGTCCTTGGACTGGACAAAATCGGCTCAGTCTTCCCTTATCTTTAGTAGCATTGTCATTTTCTCCAATCAGGTCAATTTGAAAGAACAAGGACAGCTGAGATGTCAAGATGAGTTTATTGTTTGCTGTGGAAGAAAGAAATATTTGAGACATGTCTTCCTTTTTGAAGACCTCATCTTGTTTAGCAAAACAAAAAAGATTGATGGGGGATATGACATCTACATGTACAAACAGTCATTCAAGGTAAATGTGCTCCTGCTGTTATGGTTTGGATAGCATGTACAATGCAGCATGCCTCCTGCCATCTGCTTAGTATTCTGCGTGGACAGGAACGCCATCTGTTTGACAATGGTAGGTGAAGGATCACAGTTCCATTGCCTGTTACATTTCAAGTAGTTTGTGTGTGTTTTTTAAAAGTTGGAAGAAATGAGAGAGACAGAAACTGATGAGTAAAATGAGCAAAACATGTCTGTGTGTATATACGCTGTATCATAAGTGCATGTGTGTCTTGCTGGACAGGACTCACGGGAAACCAGGTGTTTCCTGTAGAAATAATTATTTTTAACATTTCTTTCATTACAACAAGAAGCGCCCGATATGTAGTTATGACCTCTCAGCCTCCATTCTGACTACAGATCTGTACCTCTCAGTCTTGAGGGGTGTATGTGTTGAAGCCAGGGTTGGCAACTACCCTTGTTTGGCAACACCAGATATATGCGAAACCCTGATTCACCAAAGCATGTGCTTAACTTTAAGCATATGCTGAACTGCATTGTTGAACTGAGGCCATACATAGAGCATTCACCCTGCATACTAGACCCCCAGGGGCAGATCCTCAGCTGCTATATGTTGAACTGTGACAACATCCACTAGCTGAAGATCTGCCCTCAGATATTCAGCTTCAACTTAATTCATTGAAACTCTCTGAACTTCTGAGGATTCTGTGCTTCTCTTAGAGTTTAACACTGCCAGCTCCATGCTGCTCTTACAAAGAGATCACATGGGGAAACTAGAGTGCTGACTCTTGGGATATTGAAAATTCAGACAGAAATATTAATAGCTATGTGTACAGTTGTACTAGCAAGGAATCAAGATGAAGACATTTTTCTACCATTATAGAATGAGCAATGCAAAGAATTTCACTTGATCAGTTTGTTATAAATGTTTCCATGCAGTTGAATGTGTGCTTTTTAAATATGATTTCAGACGGCTGAGATTGGGATGACAGAGAATGTTGGAGACAGTGGTCTGCGATTCGAAATCTGGTTTAGAAGGAGGAGGAAATCCCAGGACACATACATCCTTCAAGCAAACTCAACAGAAGTTAAAATTGCTTGGACCAGTATCATAGGAAGGATTCTTTGGAGACAAGCTCTGAGAAACCGAGGTACACTAACTATTTAATTCAGAAAGAGATTGAAGGGTTTAGCAGTCTACTCCTTGTAGTTCTATAAAGGCAAGTCAAACAATCCCATTACGTGACCCTTATATGTCTGCAATCACCGAAGACTTCAATTTTAAAAAAGCAATTGGAAAACAGCTTCTTCAAACAGCACTCCTAAAACAATTACAGCACAATAAAGTTGTCTCTCTACAATTAGCAGGCTTTGGGAGGGCCTCTTAGATATGTTGCTAGCACTGTGGGCAAACCTAGTTTTTAAACACTGGATTTTTATTGCTTATTACAACAATCTGTAACCCACTAACTCCTCTTTTTGTCCTATGACTGCAGAGGTGTTAACAGGCCACTCTATCTTGAATGGTCCCTTAGACTCTGTGCTATCTGTTCCACCTTGCATTTTGCTATGATGCTGGGGGTTCCTTTCCCAGATCTGAAGAAGAACTCTGTGTAGCTCGAAAGCTTGTCTCTCTCACCAACTGAAATTGGTCCAATAAAAGATATTACCTCACCCACCTTGTCTCTCTACTATCCTGGGACCAATATGGCTACAGCTATACTGTATACCTTAATGGTGGTAAGTATGGAACATATCCCCCTGGGAAATCTATGTGGAATACACACTTGTTTTTCAGTCTTGCCACAGTAGGTAGCACTGCTTCTTACAAATGCAGCTAACAGTGCTTAAAAGTGAGCTCCAGAAGAAAAAATTGGCTTGCTGCCCTTTCTTGCTTGTGTGTGTGTGTGTGTGGTTTTTTTAAGGGGTATGAGTAAGACCTTTTGTTTTGTTCATCAAACGTGCAGGGTGGTGAAGAGCTCTCCTTGTTTGTTTTAACGTTAGAAATATCAGTACAGGGAGCTCTGGTCTTTCCTGGTTTTGCTACAGGACTCTTTGGAAGCTCCAGATGTGTATTGTGAGCTTTCTCAGCCCTTATTTGAAGGGCAAATTTAAATCTTTAACCAATACATCTTTCTCCCATGGATTTGTCAGGCACTTAAGTTAAATTGATGCAGACAAAATCAAAACAGATGACAAAAGAGGGCTAAGAGTTTCAAAAATACCTCCCCCTCTTTTAGTCCGGTTTCACTGCATTGTATCGCTGATGAGACAAGGTGGGTGAGGTAATACCTTTTTTTGGACCCACTTCTGTGGGTGAAAGACACTTTCAAGCTTAGACAGAGCTCTTCTTCAGGTCTGGGAAATGTATTTAGCTGTGACACTCTGAGTACAAGGTAGAACAGATTGTTTAGCATAAGTAGTTATGGTATACATAGTTATGGTATCTCTAATGTCATATTCCTACCATTTTGCAGTCATCCATAGACAAAAATAGGGTAGACATTTCTAATGTAAAAATCAAACAGGAAGGGAAGGAAGGAAAGAAAGAAAAACAACAAAAAGGGAAACAAAAAGTTCTTACCTTGTAGGCCTTCTTTATACAACATAATGAAGAAAAGGGCATGATTCCCCCCCCCCCTTTTTTTTTCCCGGTTACTTTAAATTTAGAAGTTAAATACATGACTCAGAAAAAAGAAAATTAGAAAATAGTAACTTTGGGGCAGAATCCTATTTGGTGGTAAGCATTTCTGGGGAGATACTAACAAGTAGACTTTATACTAGCTGGTTGATTTGAAGCTTTAACTCAGCCACTTTAATGCTGTCTTCTTTTTTAATCCTTTTTCCTTTGTTCTCTAGCCAATCACTTCAGAATTCTCCTCAGAAATTCCTAATTCACACCAAAAGAGAAGTAGCACAGAAAGCGACAGTAAACTCAGAACTGACAGGAACGGAATAGATATGAACAAAGGAGGAGGGACATGGCATATTTATTCTAAATCCATCTGGGCATTCCATGAATTAATGCTGCAGCTTTAGGACCTTTTTTCCTTCTGAGAAGTACTTGTAGCAACAGTGTCTTCTTAAGGATTTGGATATTTCTAAGTTCTTATAATATGGAAAGATTCTTGTACATCTTTCTTTATTTTTGTTATTAAGGATTGTTGTATATGTGTATGGTCAGCTTCAATTTGGCTCTGTTGTTTTGTAAATATCCCATCAAAGATCATGTGCCTGATTAATGGTGATTAACTATATTCTCAGATTAATTTCATTACCTTAATGGGTTTTTAGAAGAATGGTTCCCAGCCTGTTTGAGAAACTCTGCTACCAGACTAAGACCTTGATGTACCAGTCAGTGCCTACCTCCTTCCGTTGAGCTGTGTGTGCTTTAACCCACAATTATTAGAGAAACAATAAGTTCATTTTTACTGCAGACCTGGGGTCAGTTAATGACCCCTAAGCTATTTAGAAGAAAGCAGGGCTTAAATTCTCATAGATTATTTCACGGAGCCTCCCACCCCCCATCCCCGCAATATGCTATAAAACCTCCAGGGCCCAGCAGGCCGGGAGCGCCTCTGGCCTTCTGCCCTGCAACAGGGTGGTGGGGCTAGGAGCTTCTGCCCTGTGGAGCTGCAGGGCTCCGGGCTTCAGCTGCGGGGAGGGGGGTCATGGGGTGTGTGTGCGCCGGGGCTCGAGGCATGCCAGGGCTCGGGAATTCAGCCCCACAGGAGCCACCAGGGCTCAGTGCTTCAGCCCTGCGGGCGGGGCACTAGGGTGCCAGGGCTCCTCGTGGGTTTAAAAATATTTACTGGCACTCTACTCCAGATGGCTCCAGCTGAATTTAAGCCCTAGAAGAATGGGAAAATATCTGTGCAAATTGAAAGCTTTGGACAAATTGAGCCTCTGTGCTGCAAGCCATTTATTTTACATCATCAGGATAATCTCTAGGGAATTGGAAGCAAAGGCCTGACAGAGATCACTGAGTGCTAGAAGTAAAGCCACTGAGGAGTGAGGGCTGATTGGCACAATTCCTGAGGCCTCTGTGTGTTGGAGGGCCTGACCCTTCCCCCTGTGATGAAATTGGGTTCAGGAAAACTTCTGTTTCTGTTCCACTCGCTTTAAGACTGAGGCTTTGTACACACTGCAGCTTATGTCGGTATAACTTATGTTGCTCAGGGGTGTGAATAAGCCACCCCCTCCTCCCCGGAGCAATGTACGTTACACTGACCTAAGCGCCAATGTGGATAGCACTATGTCGGCGGGAGAGCTTCTCCCACCGACATAGCTACAGGAGAGCTCTCTCCCGTCGGCTTAAAGCATCTGCCCTAGCAGTGGTACAGC